AGCCAATAATTCATAGGTTAAGGTCCATATTTCACGAACATTTCGATACTTACGCCATAGTTGTGGTCCATCGCTAACGCAACACACACATTGCTCGCTTCATCTCATCAGCATTGAAGGGGCAGCGGAAAAGCGTAGCAGTAAACAATAATAAAAACTTGAATTGGGGTTAAAAATTTCATATGGGTTAAGGCTTCGTTAATCGTCATATACAGTGACTCAAAGCAGTGTTCTTTTTTAATTGTCTTAATGTTTTTCAAGTCAAAGTTTTTTTTTGTTTTCTTTTTTTTTATAAAAATATTCTTCATGCTTTGGACAAACCAGTAAACATGAATCAAAGTTTCAAACTTTATAAAAAATGTTGAAATATTTTACAAATTTTCATTAAAAAATTCGAAAATTTTAATTCTGAAATTTTCAAAAGATTTTGGGTACGCCCATAAAATTTTAGTAGAATAACGTGCAAGTTTCTAGCCGCTAAAAATTTCATTAATTTTAAAATTTTTTTTGCTGACGGATTTTTGCGCTTTTTCCATGCAAACGTATGTTTTTATGGAATAAAATGCACAATACCGCCAGTTTTTATAAATTGCGCGTAATATACAAAAACCGCAAAAGCGGTCAGCAAGCCCAAAAATGTTCTAAAATTTAAAAATAAAAAATTCGAAATTTTTATGATATTTGTTAAATTTTTCTAAATTTTGTATAAAGCTAGAAATTTTGATTTAAATGGCATGAACAAAATTTTTATAAAAAAAAATAACAAATTGATTTTAGCTTGAAAAACATTTAAATATTAAAAAAAAAAAATCAACATGTGAACACTCGTTTGAGTCACTGTACATAAATACGGACATGTAAATAAATAAGAACCTCATTATTATATAATCAGTGGAGAAGTATCAACTTTGTGTTACTAGTATGTGTATAATAAACTTACTCTTCAAAATGCTAAGACCAAACAAAGCTAAAAGCTCTCATCATCAAACTCGCATAACCCTAAAAAAATTGTTGGCTCTTCATATAAACCTTGCTTTTCGCTAGCACATTTCGTTCATAATTACATACTTATTGATGTATGTATGTATGTATTTTCATTTAACTTTATTTTATTACATATAACTGTAACTGAATTAATGTTGTTGTTGTCTATCTTGAAATTATATTATCGCTTATAAATAAATATTTCTCTTTTTCTTCTATTCTTCTTCTCCCCATCCATCATCCAACTCACAGCAATTCTGGCAGCCAGGTCTACAGCCCAGCACCTCACAAGAGTAAGTTATCTCGAAATATTTAACAAGTTGACACATTGAAATTGTTTGCATTGACCGTAGTTTTTACGATTACAGCATTAAGCCATTCGCACAACCCCCCTACCCCGCCGGCAAGCCATCGACAGCCGTGTCTGGTGACATCGAAGCAGGACTTCCGCCAGCACAACTGCCGTGGGAGGGTAGAGCGATAGCGACGCACAAATTCCGTTTGCTGGAATTCTCGGCATTCATGGAAATACAAAGAGAGGATATCGTAAGTGTTTCGGTTTTTTTTTTAACGAAATATACAGTTTGTTTGAAATGTGTTTCGACTAATCTCGAATTTAATTTTCAGTATCACCGGCACTTGTTCGTACAACTCGGTGGCAAACCGTCCTTTTCCGATCCGCTACTCGAGGTGAGTACTAATTACTACTTAAATTGGTTCAGATTAAAATTGCTGCCTACATCCAATTAAGTGGGAAGCCAGCCGTTCTCGAGGGTGTAGGTGCTAGAGTAGGAGCCGAGTAGTCTAGACGCTAAAGAGTTTTTTGACAGATGTCACTCCATTTTTTCTGACTACAATTTGGCCTACCTTTAGTTTACTAGTTATAAAGATCGAATGGAAGGAGGTTGAGTTGAGTTTTAAAGGTGCTCGTTGGAGTAGTTAGTGGGTAGGGATCCCGTAAGGTTCGGTGTGTCCTTTTTATCCTAATGAATTGTTTCATAATCGAAGATTTACCCAGGTCGACAAAACTGTGAGTCCGTAAAACTTGATTGGACAAACTACTGAATTTAAGGAAATTGTCCAAAGAGATCCACAACCGAAATTTAAATAAGATTTCCAGGACTTTCGCAGGCATGCTGAGTAACGCTCCGGCAATGGGAATACGCTGCATTAAGTTCCCTTAACACCTAATGCCTTCTGTAACGGTTCGCTCAATACTTGTCGGTGCTTACTGGGTAAGCGAAGCGTAAGGATTCCTTTATAACTAATCGTGACTAAGTCAACAAGAACATCAATCTTAGGATCTCCTTTCCATTTATTTATTTTGGAAGGTCGAAGGTTGCAGATACGCATCAAGAATATCCACGGAAGCTTAAACAATGGGGCCAGGTCATCCATGGTATATAGATATCAGTGGAGGTATGGACTACGAACACTTAGGCGACAGTCTGTAGTTATACAACTTATTCCAATCCTTTTTAATTGTAAATTGACTTGACAAGTTTAGTCCAGTTTTGCTCAGAGCGAGCCTTCTCTCATTTAACCTCATCTTGCCGGCTTCAATTCGCTTTAAATGCGATGTATTGAAAATTGTCGAAATTATTACTTTTTTAATGCTAAATAATCCATTTTCAAATTTTTCTACTCTTATTTTCTTCCTACAGACTGTTGACATCCGACAGATCTCCGATAAGTTCCCTGAGAAATCAGGCGGTCTTAAAGATCTCTACGAAAAAGGTCCACAAAATGCCTTCTATCTGGTTAAATGTTGGGCAGACTTGAATACCGAAATAACCGGCAGCGAGACGGGAGATTTCTATGGCGTTACGAGTCAGTATGTATCGCAACCAAATGGTTTTTCGTAGTTTTAAATCCTTAAAACCCTGTGTTCTAACAAATATTTTCTTTTTAGATATGAGAGTAACGAAAATGTTGTGCTCGTGTGTTCGACAAAAGTCTGCTCGTTTGGCAAACAGGTCGTCGAGAAAGTGGAAACAGAATACTCACGCTTGGAGAATGGTCGCTTCGTATATCGCATACATCGGTCGCCGATGTGCGAATATATGATAAATTTCATACAGAAATTGAAGAACCTGCCTGAGCGATATATGATGAACAGTGTCCTGGAGAACTTCACAATACTGCAGGTATATACATACATATTTACTACGTACTGTGATATGTCTAGACATGTAATACTTACCTCATTATCTTCCTGCTTACTCTTCGTTAAGGTGATGCAAGCGCGAGACACACAAGAGACCCTTCTCTGCATAGCGTACGTGTTCGAGGTGGCGGCACAGAATAGCGGCGCTACGCACCACATTTATCGGTTGATAAAGGAATAGCATGAACTGCAACTGCCCAATCTATCCACACACAATGAATTCAACAGTAGAAGCAGCGGCGGCGGCGGCGGCGGCCTCGGTGGCAGTGGCAGTGTAGGAGGAAGCGTAGGAGGCGTTAGCAAGTGTGGTGATAGTGACCGCCATGGCAGTAGCTCCCTGGCGGCGACGGCAATGGACGAGGGCACGGTAACCGGCGCGAGTGCACGCGGCTTGGCGCTCACCACGACGACAGCAGCAACAACAAAAGACACACATGATAATGCCGATAGCACCAGCGGTGTTGGCAACGCAGCCAACAACAATAGCGGCAGTAGCAGCAACAACACCAATGCACGTTATTTAAGCAATCTCAGTGATTGCCAGAATGTGAGCAGCAGTGGCGGTGTTGGCGGCTCGGGACTCGGTGGTAGTAGCGAATTGGGTGGCGCCACTTCTGTAGTCACGCCCACCATAACCCACATCAAACAGTCGCCGACGTCACCAAGTCCGATGAGCACCGGCGCTGCTGAGGCAACCACAGTTGTCTTACAGCAGCACCAACAACAGCATCACCATCGACAATCAGACGAGCTAATGTACGGCGGTGCGAACGCGTCCGCTTCCGCAATGGTTACGCACCCGCACTCGACATTATCAACGCTAGATTTGGCACACCAGCAGCAGGTGCATACGCATGCGCATGCGCAACAACAGCATCAACTGCACCAGCAGCAGCAACAACAACAACAATCACAACACTTGCAAAGGCTTGGCAGCTTAAGCAACATCAACACGTCAGGCACAAGCGCAGCAGCAGATGCAGTTTCCATCAGCCGTGGAAGCCTTGGTGTAGGCCCTGGCGCCATTACTCATCCCAGTTTGTTGAGCGAGCGTCCACCACCACCGCCATACCACAGCAGCAGCAGCAGCAGCAACGCCGCCATCATGACTAGCAAAGTATTCCATGCGGGCTCCTGTGCTGCTACCAGCATGGAAGCAATTAGCGGTGATGAGCCGCCCACCGCACGTCTCTCGGCTTACGAACAGTTTCTGAAACTTTCCGCGCACGAGTATGCGACAACGACGTCGGTCGATAACGCTGCAGTGTTGAATTTGAGTAGCATCGGCAAGGCAGCCGACAGCGATCTGATGCTGCGACATGTTAATGTGGCAGCAGCCATGGCTGCCGCGGCGGTGGAAAGCGTCGGTGCGGTGGAGGGTAGCAGTGTTGTTGGCACTGATGGTTGCAAGCGGAATTAATTAGTTGCGGTCGTTTTTGTTTTTGTGAGTATGAAAATTGCATCGCTTACGAAAATCCTTTGCAGGCAGCGTGGCCGCGGGAAAGGACGCACTATTTATGTTTGTATGATATGAGGGTGTGCGCGGAGCTTGGATAAGAATGCAGTACTGTAAGAAGAGCCATTCAGCAATCCCACAAGTTGTCTGCAGACCAATCTGACCAATTAGACATTTTCAGTTTGATAGAAAGATTAGCCCAGGTTTCTTAAAGTTACTCCGATGATCGGAGGAGCGACTACTATCGCTGATTACGTGCCAAGGAATACTTAGTCCAAAGCAGTTAGTCATGTACAAGATCTTGCACCAGAGTGGACCTATTTATTAGCAAATATTCTGCAAAATTTAGCCCGAGACCTTTATTTGGCGGACTCTTTCTCTTACGAATGGAAATACTGACCTGCAGGGAAAAACAGAATGAGGGAGGCGAACTAGATTAGCTGGGTAAAGGTGGTTGCACCAAGCAAGGCAACACTTTGACCAAAAGCATCAGTCCTTTGTAATACCACTACAGACACTAACTGCTTAGCTAAAGCGAAGGGCTCTGTATGCGAAGAGCGAAGTCTCTCAAGAGAAAGTAAAAAGATAAACCATTCCATATACACAGAGTTTCTTCGCCCAGCTTGCCGAAGCGACTGTCATTAGTGTCTAAAAGCTTCACATAAAGAGGGCAGTATCCCATGAAATAACCGAGATTTCAGAGATCCACTCCCAACTATATTAAGGAGTTTATGAAGCCTCTTTAGATGAGTTTTCAATGCAGTGCCTTTTTTGCGACTTCCCTTATACCAAATCTTGTGTGGTAAGACCCGATATTGAATCTTCACGAAATAGTGTCTAAATTATAATGAAAAACGAGCTCCCTTTATACTCTTCACAACAAATGAAGATGGAGGGGACTTCGTACTAACAAAAAAATGTTTAATGTACTTAAATTTCCGTTTACCAAAATTACCATACTTGGTCTTCTGCTTAATGTAACGCATTCTCGCAATACGGGTATATGCCAAACAGTTCCTTAGCTTGGCGGAAATATTTGCTTCTTCATTGCTGTCCAGCAATCCAGTGCTCCATTGTCATGAAGATTCAAAACGATAGAGAGGGAGAGAGAGAGAGTAGGCAATAAGCTGCAAGTGCAGCCACCAACTTCTTGCTTGCACTCCACCGAGGTGACGTTTTCTTTACCTTCCCCATCATATTGTTGTGCACCAACGACTATAGCAGTCTAGTGCGCTGAAACACTTAAGCTACTGGGCATAACATGCTGCTTCAAGGTTCGCTTGAAGAAAAAATATTAGGCTAATGGACTGAAGCGCTTGAAAACGGCCCTCGACTGCATAACCCACAGCCAACTCCTGCACTTTTGGCCCGCCTTATGCTACAAAGCAGGAAAGATCTACACCCGGCGACTTATACTGTGTGAAAAAGTTTAGTACCTATTTCAGTCTGGCTGGCGTCATTAAGTAGATTTCCCACAATGCCTTTCCTTTCTGTAGTGGATGCATTAGTGTTCGCTGGATCTTCTGCATACGCGTATGTTGGAAAGTGGTGAGTCCATTTACCGTTGCCCCTTTGAAGAGTCCTAGGTTTAGAGAGCCCTGGGACAGCACCTTCCTTAGCCATGCTGTTTCGCTGAAGCTCTCGACTCTACTACAGAAATTCTGCTACGAGCTTCAGACATACAAACATACATTTAGGCGTCCTGTTCGTCTCCCCGCCCTGATGCAATTCGAGAGCAGTCTGAAATGAATGGCTTTCATAGGATCAGGCGTAAATAGAAGTCCTGCTCGTCATGCTGTCCGAAGAGTACATTATTGTTGTTGTATATGCAAGAGAATGACACACAGCTACATACACATACACACACACACACAAACACATGTACATTTATATGATCTCAAAGAAATGCAAGCAAACATTGTTTTTTTTTTTAATTTTTGCGTTGAATTTCTTGATTTATTTGATAATTTTTTTTTTATCTAAACACGAAGGCAATACAAACAAATGCCACTAACGCAATGCAATAAGGCAAAACAAAATTATGATTTAAAAAAAAAAATATTTAAAATAAAAAGATTACAAATATAAATTAAAAAATTATGTATGTATGTAATTTGTAAATAAGTAAAATAAATTAAATTAGCTTTTGAGTTAAACGTACATAAGAAAACACGTACATATGTTAGTGAGTACATATCCACGCCAATAGAGACCAACAGCAAACGCCGCAAATTTTAAAATATAAAAAAAAGAAATATTTTTAAATATAAGTTCTTTTATTTATAAGTTGTTTATAAAATAAAAAAAAATAGCGTCGCTGCTACTACTACATACAAACATGCTCACAGGCAATTAGTTATGCCAACACACACACACACACATGCGCATATTAAATTTAAGTTAAAAACAAAATTGCCGTCGCTTTGTTCTTAGTTTTTAATATTTTTTCTTTTATAAAGGGTGATTTTTTTGAGGTTAGGATTTTCATGCATTAGTAT